GTAACTTAAAAGCTAGCCTCAGCAAAGGTGAGATGCTAAGCAACTTAGTGGGACCCTGTGTCTAAATAAAAATACAAAAAAAAAATAGGACTGGGGATGTGACTCAGTGGTCAAGTGCCCCTGTGTTCAATCCTTGGTACAAAAAACAAAAAATCAAATATGAAAAATACACAAAAAAGTACATGGCTTTATATCTGCCACACAGACACTAAACAATAGAGCATTGCCATCCAACCCGGTATCCTCTCACATGCCTCTTGTTCCCGTCTCCACTTTCTTCCTCCTTCAGAGTATTTAACAAAATTGAGACATTTGTCTGTGTTTATAGAGAGCCACTAAGTGTCTGATGGAGAAATCAAGACCAAAGACACTTAGACTAAGAAGAAATACGTGCTGAAGCAAGATCTTGAAGATGGCATGAGGGGGTAGAATCTGATAATTCTTCATGGTTGGCAGGTATTGGACTTGGAAAGGAGGGGTTCCTGTTACAGTGAGTCAGAGAAGAATGAAGAGAGGAAAAGTCCATTCAACTAGTTATTTAACCAAGATTTATTAAGCTAAACTAATTATAGTACTGTAGAAAGTACTAGAAAATTTTTAAAAAGGAAAACAAGCTGTACTCAGACTTTCCTGATAGATGCACATAATTTCCTTGAAGAAGGAAGAGATGAGATCATGGATCTGAGTAAGAACTGTTTAGGAGAGGGTGGATTTGGATTATGGAGGAGTGTGAATAAGATTTCAAAGAGCTTCCAAAGGGAAAGCCCTAAGGAATCAACACATTTTCTTTGTAGGACCATGGTATTTTGTTTTGAAAGCTAAGCTTCGAATGCTCATATCATACATCACGGTGAATCTTATTGATTCCATTTTTAAAATTGCACCTGCCATGGAGTCATGCCAAAACTCACATACCGAATTAAAGCACAAAACCCAATAAAACATAACAAGAGCTGAATGCCGAAAACTCAATTGCTTATTAAAAAACCATTAGCCTTAAAATGTTAGCTTGTCAGAAAACAATTCCTTTCTACTAACATCAGCTTTGAAGGTCAGCTAATTGGAAATATATAGAATTAGGACAGGCAGGAAATTCAATAAAGCAGACCCAGCAGTAGAAGAAACTTTGCTCCCGGCCCTGCTTGTGGAATTAGAAAAACATCATCAGGCACATGCCCACAGATCAGAGCTCTCATTAAGCCAGTCATAATTCTGGTATTTAAACTTCACCTGTTATAAGTTAAGTCGTTCTTTTTAAGCATCCCATTTGATGTAATACTTTAATGTCTCGTTAAGAGGACTCGAAAATACCAGGATATGTGACCACTTTAGATATAAAAATATCCAAATGAGCTGGCCAGTGAACCTTCTTTCATGATTCCTTTCTTTTAGCAATTAGCCTTTTTTCTTTCTGTTCTTTCCTTCTGTTCTCTGAAAATTAATCTGCGTTTTTGATTTTGGATTTGTATAGAGTGGGGGATGATTACTGAAGTCTTAATCAACATTCAGGCCGAAAGGAGTCAAACCTGCTATTATCTTTTGTGCTGAGAGCCAAGCCGTGTTTATTGTAAATGCCTGAGGCTCTCTGAAGACTTGGGAGAAGAGGCCTTTGAAGTTGACGCCAGTGGCAGACTTTTGCTTTAGATCACCATGGCTGAGAGAAATGCAGAGGTGACTTGGGGGAGAGTTATTTATAAGATCATTGAACAGAACATGAAAAGGACACTATTGAACTTGAAATATGATACTTTTGGTTACCATTAACTGAATCATAGAATTTGAATTAGAAACCATTTTATAAGTCATCCAGTCTAATGATTTCCTGACACTGACTTCCGGATTGATATGAGACAGGGTTTGGAACCAGAGGTGTTCTACCATAGAGCTACATCCCCAATCCCTTTAAAAAAGAAATTGTATGGGATCTTGCTAAGCTTCCCAGGGAGGCTGAGAACTTGTGATCCTCCTGCCTCCACCTCCCAAGTTGTTGGGATTGCATGTGTGAGCCGCTACAGAATCACTGTAATGATTCTATAGCATCTGTCTTTTCCTTTCAATCTTTACTTCCAGTTTCCTTGTCCAAGCCTCCATGGCTTCTTGCTTTTACCATTTAATACAACTGATAACTTATCTTGCATCTTCTGCTACAGACCTTCAATTGACCCTATTCATTAAAGTTAGCGTCACAACCTCTTGATCTTATCATTTTCCTGGTTCCCCTTTCCCCCCTAAAAGAGAACCCAGTTCCCTTTTGTCTACAGAATTTCTTCTAATCTTTCTATCCTAGCACTAATGGGCCTCAAAGAGACTTTTGTCTGGCCCATCCCAGCTGTAAGTGATCATGGCATCCCATGAACTCACCTCTTTTGCCATGTACTTCTTTTATGAACTTTTATGACTCAATGCACTATTATTATGCCATTTAGTAGAAAGAGAACATGTTGTGGACAGATACATGGTATGTTTTCTAAGTACTTAGCACAGTTCTTGATATATAGATATGTATTGAATAAATCATTGTGTAACCCTCTTCTTACAGTTCTATGTTTGGTATTCAACATGATGTAGAATATAAGAAATGATCAATTGCAAACTCATAGAGTGAGTGTAACAGAAATTAAAATGTTGGGTTCTGTATATTTTATGGCAATGAATGACTTATTAGCTATGCTAATATTAATTTTTGCATGCCTCCTGCCTGTGGCTTCCTGAGCCAAAAAAGGAAATCTTGTCCTCAGACTGTCCAAATAAAAGGCCATCCAATTAATCACAAGACCCTTAGCAAAAAACTGTTGGCGCATAGCCTTTTCCCCAGAAAGATCTGCAAGATATGAAGAGAACAATCGCCTCAGGCAGCACACTCAGCAGATGAGACTAAAATGTGAAAAGGCCCACTCTGAACATTTCCAGCATAGACTGGCTGCCTGTGAGTCCTGATATTGTCCCCTAAGCATGCCGCTTCTATTCCCTTAACAGTTCCCACAGTTCCTTCATGTAACATCCTTAGCAGCTTAGCAAAGCAATTCAAATGGACAAATGTATATGCTATAGTTTTTTAAAAATTATTTTTGAGTTGGATAATACTGCATGGAAACAGTGTCATATAATTAAGGCCGGATTAATAGGTAAAAGTTTATATTTGTGGGGTAATGTCCTTAATAGAGTAGTTTTGAATTCTGACTCTACATTACAATTTTCTGGCAGGCTTTCAAAATTCAGATGTCCAGGCTCCACTCCTTCCCCATGCGCTCTGATTCAGTTGATCTGAGGTGGATCGTAGGCATGTTATGCTTTTTGAAAGCTCCCCGGGTAAATCTAATTTGCTGCCAGTGTTGAGAATCATTGCAACTTACTGAAGATTGTCATTCTGTTGTACATTATTAAGAAGCAAAATAATTAACACAGCTGTTCAGGTTTCATTCAAACATTGTTTTTCCCCCCTCTGTGTCACGAGGCTAGAAGCTTAAGATGTGAGCATTGCACACTCCATACCTACTGCGGATGCCAATGAAACTCCTCACTCTCAGAATATCAATTAGTGTTCCATGTAGGGAGTAGCTGTTCCAGTTATCCTTTTTAATAGTTAGGAGAGGGTCAACATGCTGTGGGAATTCTCTCTCAATCAAGGTCTAGTCTCTGAGTAAACAAAGCATGTGACTGACATTTTGGTACTTTATGAGTTAGCCCTGGCTGTCTTTTTATCTTTTATTTATTTTTATATTTTATTGTGCTTGATTCCTTTTCCAGTTTATGCTCCAGTCGCAGTGAATTATGTTACAAGCCTCCTAAGTCCAATAATGTAGAGACTTTTATTTTGCCAGGCTTTTACACATATTTCCTCTTTGGATGCCCTTCCTCCTCTTGTCTGCCTGGAAATTCCTAATCATTCTTTCATACCAAGAGCTCTACTGGTGCAACACTCCAAGTTAGTAAGCAACGTGTATGTATGGGCATGTTTGTTATGTGTATTTTTATTGTAAGAGACATCATAGATTTCATTGTCTCCCTAAAAGGGTCTGTGACTCCATAAAAACTAAAGATTCACTTTTCTCATGTTATGATCCAAAGTGACACATTGGAGGCATTCTGAGACCCCCTATTCTCCAACTATACCAACCAAGTTCACTGTTACCCATTCCTCTTTTTTATCATCTTTATTTGTCTTCCTTTGGACTGAGATCGCACTGAAGGCAGAGAGAGTCGTTTTCGTCTTTGATCCCAGAGCTTAGTAAAAATCCATTCATTCATATTTAGCTATGGAGAATGTTGACGCTCAGGTCAACTTTCATAGGATTTGAAAGTGTTTATGTACTGAAGTTCTAGAGGGAATAGCGCTTGCATCTTCTATCTGCTATCCATATAGTTCAGTCTTTGACCTTTTTCCTTTATCAGGTCCCACTTAATGTGAACACCAAGAAATACAAAAACACTTCTTCTTGATAATATGTCAAAATATTGAGCCATGGTAGATTGTCCATTTTGTACACACACGAACAGAAACACTGTGCCTATTCTTTGCCAAGAAGATTTTCTCCAATGCTTAAATTACATGAGTTCTAGAAAGACAATAAGTAAATGAAATGAAGGGAAAGAAATTATCGGCAAAATAATATAAGGAAAATTCTCAGAGCCAACAGATACTTATTTATAGATTAAAAGGCTAGCACCCAGCAAAACAGATGAAAATAGGCTCATGCCAAGATACATCCCTGTGAAATTTCATAACACTGGGAACAAAGCAAAAATTTGTACAAGTTTCCAGGGGCAAAAATAGGTCAAGTACAAAGGTTCAAGAATCAGTTGGCTTAAGAATTTTCAATATCATCACTATGAACCAGAAAGCAATGGAGTAATGCTTTGAAAATTCTGAAGGAAAATGATTTTTGACTTATGTTTTGATTTGCACACAAACTAATAATGAAATGTACCAGTAGAAAGCAGACATTTTCAGAAATATAAGATGTCAAAAATTTTTATCTCCCTGTGCTTCTTTTTTTCAGGAAACTACTAGAGAATTTTCTCCACAAAAGGAAAAAGTAAACCACAAAAAATAAAGATGTCGTCTGCAGAAAATAGGAGACACGATACAGGAGAGAGATAAATGAAATCCTTACAAGGCTGATGGAGATTCTAGGATGACAAATTTGAACCAGCCATAGAAGACAACTGGTTGGTTAAGATTGTTGTAGGTAAGGAGCTTCCAGGAGCATGTCCTTCAAGGTGATAGCATTGATAGAACAATTGAAGTGAATAAAAGTCTTGAGGAAAATTAGACAGTCAAGAATTTTCTATTGGATTAATGAAATTAAAATAGTTCTGCTGGAATTTGACAAATTAGATTTTATGGCCACCCCTGAGGAAGAGGCTACTCCTTCTGGGTGATATGTGGGGTAATTCAAATGAAGACATCCTTGGAGTCTTCCATTGGGAGACTTCCATCATTGGGACTTCCATGTTACTATCAGACAAGTCAAAGAATGAAAATTCTCTGGAAATAGCCTTTGAAGCATCTTATATTTATGTTCTCAGGCTGTCATAAGTAAATGCTGTGGCCTAGGCTGCTTAAATAACAGAAATTTATTTTCTCACAGTTTTGGAGGCTAGAAGTCCATGATTGAGGTGGCCATATATTCAGTGTTTGGTGAGGACTCTCCTTTCTTGCAGATGGTCATTTTCTTACTGTAACCTTACATGGCCTTTCCTCTGATTGTGGAGAAAGAAAAAGAAACAGAAAGAGAAAGAGTGCATGCTTTCTCGTCTCCTCCTATAAAAATAATGATCCAATTAGATTGGGTCCCACCTTTATGATCTCCCACCCTTTTGATCTTATTTAACATTAATTTCTTCATTAGAGGCCACATAACATCTCCACATATAGCCACACTAGGTGTATGAATTTGGGAGAGATACAAATCTGCAGTCTACAACAGATTTCTTAATTCTGTTCAGTCCTCTCCAGTGACTGCTAATGTACTAGTTCATTCATGCTATTATCACAAAATGCCCCAAACTGAGTGTATTATAAACAATAGCAACATATTTCTCATAGTTCTGGAGGCTGGGAAGTCTATGTGCAAGGCACTGGTAGATTCAGTGTCTGGAGAGGGCCTGCTTCCTGGTTCTCAGGCAAGTTTTTTCTGTGTTTACATATAGGAGAAAGGATGAAGGATCTTTCATGGTTCTCTTTTATAAAGATACCAATCTCATTCATGAGCAATCCACCCTCATGGCCAAATCACTTCTCAAATACCCCCATCACCTTGTGGGTTAAAACCTCAACATATGAATTGTGATTTACATAATCATTCAGTCCACACAGGTTAGGATGTTGGTTTTCTTTGTGTGGGTACACTTTGGTTTTCATAGCTACTCTGGAGCTGGAGTACAGGTGACAGAAATAGGGAAAGTTACAATGGAACAAAGCTTACTCGCTGTATTTCCCATGATATAGTTATTTTTTTCTCACTAATTCTCCCAGGATTGCTTCAAGCCTTTGGTTAATTTCTATAATTCTAAAAAAAACTAATTTTTATAATTCTTTGCTGATACTTTTGTTGCCTTTATGGCAAAGAGAATTTTCCTATTTACTGTTTTCACTGACTTCCCATTTTTTAAAAATAACAAATATATCACTTTGATAGCAATTTCTATATCAGCTATCTTTTGATATAATAATACTACACTACAAACCTATCCAGAATATAATGGTTTCATTTATTGTTAGGTGTGGTGACTGTGCACGCCTGTAATCCCAGCATGAGGCAGGAATATCACAAGTTCGAGGCCAGCCTCATCAACTTGGTAAGGCCCTAAGCAATTAACGAGACCCTGTCTCAAACTAAAAAAAAAAAAAAAAAAAAAAAAAAAAAAAAATTCAAACAAACAGGAATCTGGCTCAAAGGATAAACATTGATAAGTTCATTTTGTGTTCCAAAAAAAGAAACAAGCCTAACCTGTTCCAAAAAAAGAAACAAACCTAACCATTTATCATTATTCATTTCACTTGTGAGGTTTGAATTCTTTTGGAGGATCTTGTCTGGTCAATTCTCTTTTGTTCACTGGATTTCATTTCTGTCTTTTGGCTGGATGGCTTTGGCTGATGTAGGCCAGCTTTGCTCCAAGCCACTCTGCATTAGGCTAGACTAGACACCTTCCAGTTGTCATCGTGTAGGATAGTGTGTGTGTGTGTGTGTGTGGGGGGGGGGGTGCCTGCATATTTCTTTTTAAATATCTGCTTTTTCCAAGTTTGCTATTATCCCTCTGCCAAAACTAGTCTTGTAAACAGTGTAGGAAGGCACTACCAAAAGGTGTTGATGTGAGGAGGTATCAAAACTTGTGGTCATTATTGGAGTCAATATATTGCAGGTCACTTTACTTTTTAAAGAATTTCCCCAATTGTCTTCAAGATTTTTATGTTGTTGAAAAATCAATGGACATGTTGAATTTTATTCTTTGTGTGTTATATATCTCTTATTCTCATTGCTTTTAACATCATTGCTTTGACTTAGGTTTTCAAATCAGTTTCACTAAAATCTGTCTCCAAATTACTTTAATTTTATGGACACTACTTGAGATTTGACATTCTGTAAATGAGGATTTATAGTTTTCATTCTTTCTGGAAAATACCAAATCATCATCTTTTCAAAGAACTTTTGAATTATCTCCTCCAGTCTTTTCTTTTTTCTCTTAGAAGTACTATTGGATAAATGTTTGAAGTGGTCATTTTATTCTCTATGTCTCTCATTTTTAATGTTTTATTAGTGTATTATAGATAATATTGGGGTTCATTTGACATAATCATACATACATGGGATATAATTTGTTCCAATTTAGTCTCCTCTCTCTCCCCTTGCCTCCTCATCCCCTCTCCCCTTCCTCTACTGTGTTGATTCTTCCTTCTGTTTATTTGTACTTTTTAGAATCAGTGCTTTATAGATATACATGAAGTGATATTCACTGTGGTATACTCATATATGTACATAGCATAATTTCAGTCAGTTTCATTCCATAGTTCTCCCTTTTCCTGTCCCTTCTTCCACTCCTTTGTCCCGTTCCTCTACTCCACTGCTCTTCCTTTCTATTTTCATGCCCCCCAACCTTCCCCCCCTCATTCTGGTCTAGCTTATGCATATGAGAGAAAACATTTGACCCTGACATTGCTGGTGGGACTACAAATTAGTACAACCACTCTGGAAACCAGTATGGAGATTCCTTAAAAGACTAGGAATGGAACCACCAGATGATCTAGTTACTTCACTCCTTGGTGTTTATCCAAAAGAACTAAAATTAGCACACTACAGTGGTACATCAACATCAATGTTTATAATAGTGCAATTCACAATAGCTAAGTTATGGAACCAGCCCAGATATCTGTCAACAGATAAACAGATCAAGAAAATGTGGTGGTATATGTATACAATGAAGATTTACTAAGCCACAAATCATGAAGTTATGACATTTTATGGTAAATGGATGGTACTGGAGACCATCATGCTAAATGAAATACACCAGACCCCATGTCTCTTAACCAGTCTTTCCTACAGAAATGCATTCTAAATAATTTCTAAAGATGTTATTACTCTGAACTGATTTCATCAGATATATTCAGAATAAATATTTCAGTTCCTTTTTTATTTTTATTTTTTAGTTGGTACCATATTGATCTGAATATTTTCAATTCTGTTGTTTTTTTAGTTGCCAAACATCTTTAATAGCCCATCAATTAGATGTTGCCAAATATGTGCTTATTTTAGACCAAAGTTTTAGATAAATACTATTTGATTTGGGCAATTTATTCTGTTTATGTATTATAGTGTCTGTATATAGCCTCAAGCCTATTTTATCTTAATTATTTTCCATGTAAACTAGAATCTGGACCTTTTTTCCCCAGGAGTATTTACTATATAGAATATGCTTCCCATAGAGGATAGCTTTCAGACGTTGTTATTGTTTTTTATTTTATTTTGCTTATTCTATATTTACATAAATCAGCTTCCATATACATACATTACTTATCAAATTAATAAAATTGAGCCTTAAATATTTTGTTTTAGTATTTCAATTTTGGTGTGTTAACATCTACTTTTTAATTTTTGAGAATCTTTTGCCACATGTTGAAGGCTGGGAATACAAGGCCAGTTTTACTAAGCAAAGTCATGTTAGCAAGGCAAATCACTGTCCTTTCATTGTTACTTTTCTTCAATTCTGTATGCTACACTGATCCAGAAGTAACAGGAGAATTATCTTCTGTGCATGTCTTTATTAAGTCAAGTTGGTGGCATGGACTTAGCTAATTAACTTGATGTTTTCTTTTCTTTTCTTTTTTTTTTTTTTCCTTTAGTAGAAATAAAAGTATTTCAGATTTCAGTACACTAACTCAGTGTGACAGAACAATTTTTGAGTACAAATTGAGCACATAAAGCTTGGGTCAAATGGGAAAAAAATGGGAGCAAATTAATTTCTTTTACATACAAACACATGTTATTGGGGCTGGGGTTGCGGCTCAGCAGTAGAGTGCTTGCCTAGCAAATGCAGGGCACTGGGTTCGATCCTCAGCAGCACATAAAAATAAAATGAAGGTATTGTGTCCATCTACAACTAAAACAAAATATTAAAAAATAAAAAAATAAACACATGTTATTTTTGCATTTTGCTTTCCGGAGTTTACATATATACACTTGATTTTATGTAGCAGTTATCACATTATGCAATGTGGACTTTGAGTTTTCACTTAGTATATACTATTTTTGATATGTTCTATTTTTTGGTGCTGGTGATAGATAACAATTTAAAGGCTATATACATTCCATGGGGGGTGGGGGCTACTATTTTTGGTATTATAATGCTTTCCTCCCTCCAGTTATGGTGATGGAACCCAGGGCCTTGCATATGCTAGGCAAGTGCTTTCCCACTGAGCCACACCTGAGTCCTCAATCAATGCTATAATCACCTTTTTATAGATATATTTTTTATTATTTGGATTATTTTTAGGATATATTTTCAAAAATAAGATTACCAGATTAGAAAATTAAATTAAATTTGAGATGAAATATTTTGTTGATATAAATTCCTGAATTATTTTCTGAAAATCTTTGTTAGTCTACATTGATACCAAGTGGTATTTTGGATATTTAAAATTTTTAATAGTTCCTCAAAATTTTACTATCCATAAATAACTGGCAATATTCTGTTATATTTTCTGTCTTTATTTCTCTTCCTTCCTGTCATATTCTTACTCATCCTTCTCTTCTCTTAACCCTTTTTCCTACTTTCTTTCTCCCTGTATTTCATTTCCCTGCCCACTTCCTTTTTGATATATATGTTCTGAAAATAAGTAGGAGTGAGGTATTCATGTAGGCTGAAGAAGGAGGATCGTAAGTTCAAAGCCAGCCTCATCAATTTAGTGAGGCCCTAAGTAACTCAGTGAGACCCTGTCTCTAAATAAAATATTAAAAAGGGCTGGGGATGTGGCTCAGTCGGTAAGCACCATGGGGTTCAATCCCTGGTTACTACCCCTCCAAAAAAAAAGTCATTCATATTTTTGTAGAACTAATGTAAAGAATGCAAAAGTGCTTTGGGACTTAAAGAAATGGAATTTGGTTAAACATATACATGTAAGACTGAATGGTCCCCATTTGTTTATTATTTAGCTAGGAGAGGAATTGGTTTGATTATAATAAATAAATATAAATCATCATAGTGAATTCTTCCAGATACCTCCATCTATTGTATTTTCCAAATAAAGAACAAATGTAAAAGATGATAATTTATGGAATAATTCATAAAACCTTGCTTAGGAGTTAGTAGAAAATTTGATAGATCATATATGATCTTTTCAATAGTCAGCTACTTAAGGTATGCATTATTGATGCTAGTCCAAAATCTAGTTGTTCACCAATTTATTTAAACTTTGAGCATTTGAAACAACATTGAACTAGGAACATACTATAAAGAGATATATACTTTTATGTTACTGGATGTCTGCACCGTTTAGATCTCCTGATTGCTTTATTTTCCAACATTGTTTTCCTTTTGTTTTAATCATTTGTTCATATACCTGTTGGTCGTTTGTATATCTTCTTTAGGGAAATGTTTATTTAGGTTTATTTCCCATTTTTAATCATGTTATTTATATTGAAGAGATGTATATTGCTGCCATTCAGCATCTGCATCTTAGAATCACACTTGTTATTTTTCATTAATTTTCTATCTTATGTTACTGGATCTCTGTGCATCATTTAGATCTCTTGATTGCTTTCTTTTCCAACACTCTTTTCTTTTGGTTTCTATTATACCATCTCCTGGATTTTTTCCATCTTTCGTGGCTTTAGTGTCTTATAATTGAGCCCCCTCACCACCCACCACTCCTTCCATCATTGTCTCTTTTCACTGTGCCTTCTCTCTGTCTCTCTCTCATCTCCCCTCTGATTTTTTTAATCATCAATATAATGGGAGAACCCTATATGTATCTCCAGAAGTTCCTCTTTTCTGGGATCTTGATTCATATATGTAAGTTACCCTCTAGTCATATCTTCTGGAATATCATAAAAGTATCCATCAACAAAGTGGACTTGTTCATATAAAACTTTAAATTACATTTGTCATAAAAAAGTATCCATCAACATACCCTGAACCAAAATCATTAATTTTTCTCCTCTCTACTATTTTATCTTCATTCTCTCCATTCCTTTGCCTCATTACCTTCCCTCATTTTCTATATTGATTAATGGCAACTTCTGATCATCTAGGTCAGATACTCTGAACTGATTTTCAGTTCCTTTCATTCCTTCCCACTCACAGTAGTTGGTTATTATATT